TCATCTATCATCCATCCATCATCCATCCATCACCAGTCATCCATCCACTGTAATTCATTTATCCATCATCTATCATCTGTCATCATCCATACATCACCCTTTCATCCATCCATCATCCCCCCATCCATCATCTGTCATCCATCCAGCCATACATTTTCTTTTGTTTTTCCAATTTGAAGTTTGGAGGAAACTAATCAACAAAATTTCAACTAAAATCTTTTTTTTTTTTTTTTTTTAAATCCTAAATATTTCCAGTTGTTTATGTGACAGGTGTAAATGAAGAAATTGAAAATAAGAATGGTTGAAATGTACTTCAGGACTAAAGGAGGCCTACAACAGAATATTAACGTCTCCTGTAGATAAAAGATGAAGTTAAAAGGTGGAGATGTCAGAGGAACAGCCAGAAATGTGTCAGACACTCCGGTGGTTTATAACGAAACCTCAGCATCAACAGTTCAGCTCTATATATAAAAATAAAAAAATGTTTCCTCCTCCCACAGCCCCACCCCCACAATCTTTTTCCTGATTACTCCCTCCACCTCCCCTCCATGCATTATAAATCAGGCTGAGCCCAAACAGCGCTCTCTGCAGTCTGCCATCCTGTCGGCTCCTTCTTTCTGTAATTCTTGAATTAATTGAGGTCTTCTGGGACTCAAAGGGAAACAGAAATACTCTCTGCAGTCAGAGGGATTCAGACTCAGAGCTTTACTTTAACATCATCCATCAAACATAGAGTTTTATGGATGCAGAAGCTGGAAACACGTTCATCATGAAGCCAAACTGGTTTGTTAACGCTGGTTTTTCCAGTCTGTTCTCAGTAAAGAAGAAGCATAAAAACTCAGTCAAAACACACTTGTGTGAGTAAATGTGATCACAGTTGGTTCAAAAATCATGAATCTTCTTCAGTCTGTTTGGAGAATAAGACTCAGATTTTATATTTCACAGTGAATACTTGGATTAAACTATGAGGAATGAACAGGACAGGACTCAGGAATCGTACCAACGTTATGATCATAATGTGGACAGAGAAGATGGACAGTTTGAGAGGAGAGGAAGTCATTTATATTAAACATGAAGGGCCAACTTCAAATCAAGGAGATCTCAGGTTTTAACTTTCCTGAACTAATTTCCATGTCAGGTTTTGTAGTTAAAGATCCAGGAATGCAGACGACACGATTAAAACAAGTAAAACAAAACAAAGCTGTCCTGCTAGTAAAATACCTACATGCCATGAGGAGAACCTGGCACAGCATGGAAGCACAATAATGGTGGACAGATGAGGGAGGTGAAGCTGAGAGGTGATAAGAACAGGGCTGATGAGTGGAGCGGCTGCAGCTGCGACTGAAACAGGAGTCAGGTGTGGAGATGGGCGTGGCAGGCTGACGGTGGCTGGTGGCACAAAGGAATAAACAAGAAACAGAACTAAACAAAAGAATCACTGAACACAGAAATAAAGATAACAAAAGGGGGGAAATAACAATAAACAAAAAGATTTAAAAGGATGACAGAAGAAAACCAAAAACCCAGACCCTGACACTCCGGCCCGTTTCACACTTTCATGCATGCGACCAAAACGTTTCACCTGTGGACCAGGCCAACAAAAACCCTAAAACCTCTCAGGAGGGAGGAAGAGGGGGAGATCCGTTATCTTTACCCACTTCTTCCTTTTCGGGTCGTGGGGGTCACTGGTGCCCATGTCCAGCAATCACTGTGCGAGAGGCGGGGGACACCCTGGACAGGTCTCCAGTCCATCACAGGGACACAGAGACAAACAACCATTCACTCCCTCACTCACACCTGGGACAATTTAGTCACCAATCAGTCTAACATGCATGTTTTTAGTCTTTGGGAGGAAACCGGATTACCCGGAGAAAACCCACACATGCACAGTGAGAACATGCAAACTCCACCCAGAAAGGTCCTGGGCCAGGATTTGAACCAGCGACCTTCTCACTAAGAGGCAACAGCTCTACCAACTGAGCCACCGTGCTGCCTTTGATGGATTTATTAGTGATATTTTTAATTCAGCTAGTAGTCAACCCTCTGCGTCTTTAACTGATTACCAATTAAAAAAATAAAGATGTAGATAAAACCCCGACCCTAGCTCAGTTTAAATACATCTTTTTTATCTATTCGTTTTTAAAGATTCAAGTTCTTACAAAGGTTGATAGATGTGTTTATTTAATGTAGTTTAAATTATTATGTATAATTTTTATAATGGAAAATATATGAAAAATAAAAAATCTGTGCTGTATATCGACCATCGGCTTCCCTGATTTCTAAAAATCAGCATCGGCTGCAGAAAAACTTTATGGGTTGAAGTCAAAATTCAGCTCACATAAACGAGTTACACGGTTTGAAACAAAACTTTTCTGTTTGAGAGAATAAACCTCCTCAAGTGACAAGAGAAACATATTCAGAATGGGATTAACGTGTCTAAATAAAGATTGAATGAAAAAAAAATAGAAAACTTTAACAGCAAACTCTTATCAGTCTCTAGGCTTTGCTTCTAAAAAAAACCAAGGTACCGTATTTTCCGGCATATAAGTCACAGTTCTTTGCATAGATTTGTCAGTCCTCCAACTTATATACTCCCCCTCCCCATATTCATAACGCATTTTTTGACTGACGCTTTAAATTTCGAAGAACTGCAACGAGTCCAATCGTGCGCGTGCGCTTCACTCAGCTGGTGCAGGTGGAGGAACGCTGGAGAGCTAGCGGCTCCGGCCGCGATGGACGGACGTATGGCCGCCCAGGCAAAATGAAGCGGTTTTGATCTTTAAATAAACACATAATAAATGTGACATATGTTGAAGCGACTTTTTCCTCTTCATGATGCTTTTTTTACTTATGCAACCTATACTCCAGAAAATACGGTAATCATCTGTCTTTTCTGGATGAAGTCACCACTTCTTTAAAGTTTATTTTGGTTCAGTTTGAATCAGCTTTATTGATTAATTGAATACAACAATTTGTCTTCTGCAAATAAGATAATCTTTTTATCTCCATCTTCTAACTCTTTTCTGTACTTTTCTTACGCTATTATTGTATGTTTAGTTGATGTTTTTCTTAGTTCATATCTTGGATGTTATCAGTTTTTCTTTTACATTTTTATTGTTGGATGTAACTGGGACCCCGTGTACATAATTTCGCTCCACCACATGTACCACATGGAACGACAATAAATAATCTCAGACTCTCTGACTCTGGGTTGTGAAGGCAGCAGGTCCAGGAGAGAAACAAAGACCTCCCTCTCCCCAGAGGCACTCTCCAACTCCAGATCACAAGACCAGAGAGGACATGTAATCCCTCCAACTACTTCTCAGTCTGCCCTGGGGTCTCCTCCCAGCGGTCCAGAAAACCTCCAAAGGGAGGTGTCCAGAATGCAACCTCCTCAGCTGACTCCTGCAGAGGAGCAGCGACTCTATGCTGAATCATCAATCCATCTCTCGCTCCATCCTTCCATCACTCAGGAACAAGACGCTCAGATACCTGAACTCCTCCCTGAGACAACAGCTGTTGAATTAGTCCATCTCGCTGAAGGAGACGAGGCGTTATGTAACAGCTGGAGGATGTTTAAACAACTATCTCCTTTTCTTTAGTCACAGAGCATCCCTGCAGGAAGCTTTACCCATACGTTCAAATAAAAAATACCTGAAACTGCTCCAAAGTTTTTAAAGTAGAACTTATTCAGGATTGTGGTTTTAAAGCAGCCGAGCCTGAAGAGCAGCACGTTAAAACGACAGACGGGTTGTTCACTCGCCTTTTCTCCTGCAGGAGGAGGAGTCGGGATTTCCCTCCGATGGCTCCGTGTTTTTCTGCCTGGATGAAGGAGCTCCTGAAGCATCAATGCAGAGAAGAGAAGGAGGAGGAGCAGGAGGAGGAGTGTTTTCTTTCCTGATGCAGTCTCGACAAGCTCTGAATACATATCAGCTTTGTTTTTGGGGCTCCTCACTCTGCACAGCAACACAGACAGCTGCTCCTCAGGCTTCCCGGAGAATCGAATCTAACGTCACACTTTCTCATTCAGTGCTTTAAATTAACACACGAGGGAGCAAACTGTCACAGCTGTGGAAGAAGAGTTGCAGAAGATCAACAGGAATATGTTTGAAGCACAATTGGGTCATTAAACCAAGCAAAGATTTAAAAAAAAAACTAAGTTCAAAACTAAGAAGAACTACTAACAGAACAGAGCAGAAAATCCATGTTCACCCATCCGTTTATTCATCTGTTCATCCATGGATGGATGGTTGGAAATATGTTGGATGGATGATGTATGGACGGATGGATAGATGTATGATGGATGGATGGTTGGATGAATGCAGGATGGACAATGATGTATGGATGGACAGATGTATGATGGATGTGATGGATGAAAGATTCTGGG